ATCTTAAATGATGTAGCTGCCTCCTTACGCCGGCTGGCCTAGAGTTCCAGTGTATCCCATGAGTCTGACCTCGTTTTTTTTGAGGGGTGGGGGTTCTGGTACCGGGAATTGAACCCATGACGTTGTACTTGCCAGGCAGGCACCATGCCGCTGAACTAAATCCCCAGCCCCCTGACCTCTTGTTTGAATGAGACCCCAGAGGCATGTCCCCCTTGGCCCTCTGTCTTTTCCGGGGTCCCACCCCTCCAGCCAGCTCCCCCTCTGCTGGCAACCAGCATATCAACATGAGGATCGGCTGCCAGCCCTTTCCTTCCTTCCTTCCTTTTCCCTCCTTGCTATCCCTCCGTCCCTCCCTCCGTCCCTCCCTCCCTCCCTCCCTTCCTTCCTTCCTTCCTTCCGAGTGGAATCCAAGGACTCACCTTTTCCCCAAGTTCTTCATTTCAGCTATATCACCCTGGAGGATGAACAGGTGTAAGTGTAGCATTGAGCGGGCAGTGGGTCCAAACCTGCATCCTTTGAGGGTAACTTGTCTTCTGGCCGTAGGTAGTGACCCTTCAAAAAGGCCTTATAAGCCCACTAGACCTGATACGGGGTGGGGGGAGACCGAATGCAGCTGCAGGCTCTGCAGTTGGCCAGCCCTCCCCATGGGATACACTCAGCAGGCCCCGTGGCTGGACATCTCTGTGGGTCTCTCCACAGGACAAGCCAGGGGCAGGATGTGGACACAGGCCTTTGCGCCAACCCGCACCCCCACCCCCAGCCAGATGCAGAGTGAGGCAGAGCTAGGCCAGCTGTCCACCTACTGGTGCCGACCACCTCCCTGCTAAAGCGAACCTTGGTGGCTTCTGCTCCTGGGACCCCAAGCGGACAGGTGCTTCAGGAACGAAGTGTCCAGGGTACCCTTCAAGCAGGGAGGTTTAAGACTGCAGTGAAGACAAAGGAATATGAGCTGATCACAGCTAGTTTGAGGAAAAGATATTACCAGCATCCAGAAGTAGGAAGGGAACAATGACCTGAACCAGGCTCCCTGGTCTGGGCAGATTCCATTCAAAACTCATCCTTTCCTTCCCCAGCCCTTTCCTACAACTTGAAAGCCCTCCCATTCTTAGGTCCCTGCTTACCTAAGACCTAAAGAATTCAACTCTCACCCTCTGGTCTTTCTGTGTTTGCTTCGAGTCCCCAGCATGTTTACTGCTCTTCACTGAAAGTCACCCAAAGGGTTTATTTACATCTCCTGGACGCTGACACAGGAGGTCAGCATTCGGCAACCGGCGTGCTGCAGGCCGGTGAGAGCCACAGCAGAGTGCAAGGCCACTGTGTTGATTTTCTGGGGCAAGGGGGGTCCTGCCTCCAGCTCAGTTGACTCTCTTTCTTCGCCAGAGGCTCTCCCCGGTTCATCCTGCCCCTTTACAGGCCATTTTCCGTCCCTGACTACAGCTGCACACAGCTGAAGCCCCAGCTGCAGCCACACAGGTAGGGAGGTCAGGTCAGCGCCTCTCCTCCCAAGACCCGCATCCAGGAAGCAGCAAGACGCGAGAGCAGCACCCTCAGTGCCAGGCCCACCGCTAACGGCCCTCAGCCTCTCCATGCCCAGAATGAAGGCGCAGAACCGGATGCTGCAGCTCCTGACCCTCTCCCTCCTTCGGAGTCAGCTTCGCAATGCTTCTCTAAGCACTGACTCTTCCGTGCCCACCCTGTCTCTTCCGCTGGGCTCTGGCTTCTCTTCTGGCTGATGTTTTATTTGAAATGCTTTCCCCCAAGTGTCATCCCACTGCTTTTCCACCAGCAACGCAAAGCCCTCCCGGCTCACGGTTGTCTGCTTGCCCTCTCCAAGGGCCGCGTGTGCTGCTGGATCTCCTGCGCGGTCCTGAGTGCTTAGGGGCCGGCAGGGAACTCTGATCCTTTTCCCTTTTGGCCTCCTCAGACTTCATCCCTGTTGGTTGTTTGTGGCTTAGCTTCTTCTTGAACCATATTTTAGAGTACTTTACTGCACCCCCACCCCCACATGGAAAGCTCTGGTCAGCAGTCCTTTGGCACGCACGGTGCTTTTCCATGGCCTGCCCACTTTCCGGTTCTTGGGGCTGGCCCAATGCCCAGTCAGAGCACTTCAGCTCTGAAGGCCAGAAAACGTCTCTGCTGTTCCAGCTCCTGAGGTCTGGGTCATCCCCAGCACCACGTTAAGACTGGCTTAGTACAATCTGCCACTCCTACTCCAGCTCCTGCAGACTTGCTCTCAGAGCAAGGGCCTATGAGCTGTCAGCTAGCCTTCCTTTAAGCTCCTTCCTCTCACCACTGGCATCCAAGTCAGCCCTGTCAGGTCCACCGTGACGGGGTAATTTATTCTTTTCCTGCCATTCCAGGTTAAGTCTTGTACTATGCAGTTCTGTCTTTCTCTAAACTTAATGTTTCTTGGCAGATCCCGTCCAGAAAAGCCTTCCCCGTGGTATCTACAACCAATGGGCCACACACACACGCACGCACGCACACACAATTTTGGAGACAGGGTCTCACCATGTTGCCAGGGTGGCTGCTCAAGCCACCTTCCTGTCTCAGCCCCCTAGTGGCTGGGGCGCTTGGCTATCTTCCTCTTCTATACAGCTTATACTGTGGGTGTGCTCACTAGACCCTCTGAAATGTGCCTAGACAGGCCCGCTCTCCCTATTTTATGGAGGGGTCTGAGGCTCGGAGCAGTTGTACACCTGCCAGACCTCCTGGCTCCGCCGCCACGGTGGGCACCTGCGAGAGTTCAAGGACAACGGATGGTGGGGTCTGGCGGGCACTCAGCACCAGGAACCTGGGTGGAACCCGACTGAGTTGAGATCACTGCTCCTGTCCCCAGAGGCACAGGAGGCTCTTGTACCTCACTGCAATCAGCCTGAGCTTGGCTCAGGGCCGTCCCCACTGTCCACAGGTCTCTCTGGAGAGGAACAGAACTTCACCTTGATGTCTGTGGTGGGGGCCTGGAGAAACTAAACGTTAGAAGACACTGGCTCAGACACACAGAGAAAATAAAGCAGAGGGATGCGAACGGCTTTCTGAAAGCCCATACCAATCATCAATGACCGCACACTCACATTTTTAAATTGCTTTGTTTTTCGTGGTACTGGGGACTGAGCTTTTGCAGTGAGCTACATCTCCAGCTCTTTTTACTTTTTTTTTTTTTTTGGCTTTTTTCCAGTACCAGGAATCGAACTCACGACCTTGCGCTTGCCAGGCAGGTGCTGTGCCGCTGAGCTAAATCCCCAGCCCCCTTTTTACAATTTTAAGACAGGTTCTTGCTAATTCACAAAGTCGCTCGAACTTTGCAATCTTCCTGCCGTTTCCCAGAGTGCTGGGGTTACAAGTGTGCGGACGCATATGTGTTTGGTGCAGTTTACGGATGTTGGTGTTCAGGTTGTTACACAACTTCTCCCCTTCCCCCACGCTCCTTATGCATTTTAGACAAGAGATCTGCAGGTACTTTCTCCAAATCAGTCTTGCGTTTGTACTGACTTCCACTGTAGATTGGGGGCTGTACTTGGGGATCCTGGCTGGAGAATCCTGAGTGACCAACTGTTTTAGGGGCCAATCCTAACGCACGCTGAACACGTTACATGGATCCAGGCAGCTGCTGAGCCCACCTACCACTTCATCCTTCCATTGCAGTCTTCCTAAGCCCTCACCCCAATTCCCCAGACCACAAGAACTGCACGCCTGAGGACTTTCCGTGGGTCCCCACGTACCTCACGTGTTTGTCTCTACCTTTGGTGGGATACTGAGAGGTAGACTGAGACCTGAAGCCAGTAGTTTGTACTTCAGCTCTATTAGTCCATGAGCCCATGGCTTTGGGTTCACAAAAGGAGCCATTTCCCAATGTAAGTTCAAAGACTGGATAAACCATTTCCTCTTTTCAACCTTGCGCTTGCCAGGCAGGTACTTGTGCCACTGAGCTATGTCCCTGGCCCACCATTTCAACATAAGCTTGCAGGACCCTTCTGCTGAGCCTAAGCAAGCCCGCTGTGAACTGAAGTAACTCCTGCTTGCTCCGAGCCATATTACTGCAGGGTACCCTGAAGGTTGATTGCCTGTAAGTCTCCATCTTGAAAAGCATCGCGTAACTCTACTAATAATGACAGCCATTAGGGTGCAGATGGGAAGATTTTTCTTTTCATTTACACTTTCATGTAAAAAGCACTCATTTTTTTTTTTTTTTGGTACCAGGAATCGAACTCAGGACCTCACACTTGCCAAGCAGGTGCTGAGCTGAGCTATACCCCCCAGCCCAGCACTAGTTCTTTTAAAAAATTAAAAATCGCTTTTAATTGATTTGAATTCATGTCATTTCATTCCATTATGGGTACTCAGGGGGCCAGTGAGCACTCTTGAGTGGAACATCCCACAGAGAGAACCATGCAACTTGTCAAAGCCATTATCCTGCTGCTGAGGCAAGTCTAGGACTTCACCCGGCACATGGCCTACTCGGGCCACACAGTAAGGACAGTTCTCCTTTGGAAGTACCTGTTTTCTTGACAAGAGTCTTAGTTCACAAGAATATGCAGGTAATTGTGGTAGGTGGCCTTACTACACATAGGCAGTGTGAATTTTTTCTCCTTAAGAATCAAAGTGCAATGTATGCCTGAGGCAAGTCAGGAAAAGCAACTGGGACACATCAGAAAACATTCTGTGGGAAGCTCTTTCGTCCCTTTACTGCAATGCTCCCGAAATTACATCTGTTAGAAATGTCAGTTCCAGGGTCTCACCTCCTGGGTCTCCATGAGCCTGGGAAAGAAGACCAAGTCCAGATATCACCTCCCTAGCCCACATTTTGCTGTCAGATGTGACCTTTGTCCCAGTACCTAGAAGAGACAATGACCATTGTCACAAACATAGTTTGTCTTCTAATCTTCAACGTGGCTTTGAATCAAGTTTCCAGCTGGGTAAGAATTAAAACGAGAAACAAAGAGAGACGGAAGGGTGTCTAAGCGACCAAATCTTCCCTGGAAGAGAAGAGGAAGCCGGAGAAGTGAGTAACAGGTTTATTTGCATATACACAAGAGAAGAGTGGATGTCGCTGGGCGAGAAGAGGCCGGGCTGTGAGGAGGTAAGGCTTCAGCAGAGGAAGGCACCTTGACAGACAACGAGAGACTCGGCTTATTACATCAAGCACAGCTGCAAACTTCATTTGTCCCAAGCCAACAACTCATTTACCTATTGCCCTCAGAAATCATTTACAAAACCAGGTGGGAAATAAAGCGGAGAAAAAGTTTTACATATCTGGATCCTCCACTTAAAAACTGTATGTACTGAATGCAGACAAAAACACAAGACGCACTTCCAAATTGATCTTAATTCAATCAGTGCCACCTGCCTTGCTGGGGAAGATACTTACCATGAAGAATTTGGGGATTAAACACACCTCGACAGTTGCAGCCTCAATTCTACAGTAGTTTAGGCAAAAGGACTCTGGAACAGGTTGTTTCCAGGACCAAGAACACAGGGATCTCCAGGAGGACAGAGTGGCTACAGAAGCGTCCATTCCCCAGCCTGCCCTGCCGAGTATTCCGGGCCTCTCTGCCGCTGAGCTGAACCTGTGGCACTGGGAAGTCTCTCCCCAAGGACAGAAGGCTTCCTTCTAAAAACAGTCTTTCTTGGCTTCTAATGGTAATCAAAGGGCACTCCGCCTTCTCTTTTGAGTACTCAAATGATAACAGCTTTTCACATGAAAGACTACTCATTTGGGAACTGTAACTACCACTAGCTAGTTCCCAAGGAAGTGCTACTTCTTTATTCTCTAGGAAGATATGCAGATTATCTTTAGAGAATCAGAAGTCAGAAGAGGCTACCTGCTGATTAAATGAACCTAAAGTAAAACCTAAGGACTGGGTATGCTGACTAAGAAGGGGAAGAGAAACACACACCGAGTGGTTGCATCTTTTTTGTATATAAAGGATTACAAAATTCCAATTTAATACATTTTGGAAAAGCAAATGTAAAATAACTTGGGCTTATAAAACCAGAATTTACAATTATCTGTGAGTAGTTAAAGACAAATCATAGAACCGTTTTAATTACAAACCTGAAGTAATTCTAATATTGGTCACAGAATTACTGTTCCACTCCGCCAGTAAGAGTCCAGGTGTTGAACTGTCCACACTCACACGCCTTCCCCGACAGTGCTCACACCCGGCCCCATCACACATACACTAGCACGCCCTCCCCTCCGCAGAGCTGAGCAAGACGGCAGCTCTTCCTGGCTTACACCAACCCCGTCCTCTTATGAACTCCCTCCCCCAGCGTCTGACTTCATCCAAGTCTTCAGCCTCCACAGGTTGTCTGCCCTTGGCTCCAGTTCCAGCAGGACAGGCCCTTATCTAAAAGAACGCTGGGTCACCGAGGCTATGCCAGCCGCACATTAGCTCTTCTCTGTGCCAACCCCAGCCGCGCTCCTAGTTGCCTAGTACCTTTGCGCTCAAGAAAAGTTGTTGTTCTCTCTCTCCCTCATTTCTTGCCAGTATTCTGCCTTTCTGATGTCTGTGCCAGTAAGACATCCGACCATTCTTATTAGATCTTCCTGTCTTGCACACCCCTCGCTGATAACTGAGTAACTGTAACCACCACCACTGCAATGCTAAAGTCTTCCCTGGCCCTTCCCCCTCTCAAACATTACCTACCTCAACAGAACTGAATTTCTTTTGGGCGCCAGGAGTTAAACCAGACTCCCCTCCCACACCCTCTGCCTCTTACCAGGCCTACTCAAAAAAATCTGTCACTTTAAGAGATGCCTACTGCTCTGCAAAGTTCAGTTAAAATACCACAGCCTCTGTCAACCGCAAGCATGAGGGAAGACACAGTCCCTCCAATTCTGACCAACGGTTTAGGGTTGAATTAAAAATATAGTACCAGTCTGCTCTTTACTACATTTCTTCATCAACACTTCTCTAACGCCCACAGCAGTAGTTTGGACACAAAGCTCTGGAAAGCTGCCTTTCCCCTTCTTTAGTGTGCCTGTCTCCACCAGACAGAGCCAAGCAAGCACCTGGCCTTTCGAGTGTCTCTTAGGAACTAGCACCTAACTGGTTAAAGTGTGTTATCCATGACCGGTTGTAATTTATGACGTATCATGGCACTGCTCAATTCGCAAACGATGAGTTCATCCGGGATCTGTATGTTCTTGAATCTGATCTTAAGTGCTAACCTCCTTCTAGCACTAGAAATGCCTCCCCTTTAGTATCTCCACATTATATCTTCAATGAAGAAGCGCTACTTAGAGAAAACACGGGAGGTTTAAGAAAGGAACCATGATTTCCTCTCCAGCACAGCCAATGACTGAAGGCCTGTTTCTATTCTCCAGTATAAACCTACAAGTGAGATGGCTGCACCATCTCATCTACCAGGCACTCCTCAATACCTGAACTCTCCAACATGTGAACGGGGCGAGATGGCAGGACCTACAGACCCCCAGGTCCTTGCTGATGGACGACTAAAAGAACAGTCTTGCGAGACAGTGAGCTCAAGTGCCAGTGCACACACAGGAGAACCAATCACACACCTCAACAGGACTTTCAGTGACCCCTGCGCAGGTGCACTATGCTCCTGTCTCTCTAGAAGGGAGTGACCGGGCCTTTCCCCTTTCTTAGCATGACACAGATCGATGGCCAGCAGGACCTTCAGACCCTGGCTGAGATTGAACAGAAGGGAGCAGCAGCAGACACACAACTTCAGGCCCTGGTTTTATGCGCCTTTAATACTTTTTCCTCTCTGCTGTATTCACTAAACAAGAATATTTTTTGTAAAGCTACTTTTTGTAGCTTTGTTTTCCCTTTGTATTTATCATGTTTTTAGTTTCTTCTCTGAGGAGCAATTCTCTGAATCTGTGTCTTCTAACTCAACTCGGTGCCTTTTGAGGCCACTGTGGCCATGAACAGCCCTGCTGCTGTCTGTGGCTGAGGTGTCAGTGGGGTCCTCTCTTGTTCCAGCACTGGGGGTCTCACAGGCCATTCCGGACCCACAACAATCTTTTTGTACGAGAGTCCCCGGCAGGGGCGAGTTATCAAGGTCAACGCCAGAGTGTCCTGGGGAAGAGCAGGCTACTGCCGCCAGCTCTCCGAAGTTCTGCCCATTGTTGTGGGGGTGAGGGGGCCGGGGGTGTAAGCATCCATTGTTGTGGTTGGCACAGATGGTTTCCAGGCTCCTCTCCTCACTGTCATCCGACTGGGTCCTAGAACAGTTGCCAGGGCCACTGCCGAGAGCGGAGCCAGAGGCCTTGGGGACAGGGGGAGAGGGTGGCTCTTCAGCCCGGCTGCTCAAGGCCTTGCTCAGGGCCTTTCCGTTGAGCTTCTTGGTTTCAAAAGAGTATTCTACAGAGCCCCCATTGTTAGTGTCCTGAGAGGGGCCCTCCGGTGCCTCTGCCCGAGGGTGGCTGCTGTGCTCGTGGCCTGGGCCACTGGCGGGACTTCTAGTGGATGTCCCTTCTTTACACACATCTTTGCTGCAGCCTTCCGGGGGCGGGTCCTGGTTCCTCTGGGCCAAGGCTGTGCTCAGAGAGGTTTCTCTACTAGAAGAAGGGGCAGGACTGTCCTTGTGGCTGGTTCCTGCTCTCCCTTCATCCGCCTCCCCTGCCACTAGGGAGGTTTCTCCATCTTTGTTATTTGAGTAGGAGATGTAGGAGTAACGGAGCCATTTGTAAGCTTTATAAATCTTTCGCTCAACTGATTCTATGTCCGAGGTTGGTGATGCCCGGCTGGGCTGCATCTCCAGGGCGGAAGTGCTCCGCTCTGGGGAGGAGGCTGGGGAGGAGGAGAGGTCGTCCACTCTGATCTGCGGGTAGTCGCAGTTGTCCTCGCCAATGTAGGTGCTGGTGGGCTTGGCAGGGGCACCGGGCCTCTCCTCCCGAAGTGACTTCTGCCTCCTCCGTGCAGCGTTCCGCTGCCGGGTGGAGGCTCGGCGCTCATTCAGCTCCTCCTCGTCCTCTGAGCTGCTGGAGCTGCTGGAGCTGCTGGACTCATCCTCAGGGCTGGGGGAGCGAGGACGGGGAAAGAGGTCTGTATCCAGCTCGACCTCACAGGCGTTCTCCTCCGAATCTGACTCGTTGGACAGGGCCAGGAGGCGTTTGTCCTGGTAACGCCGCAGAGCTGAGAGGCGCTGCTGGCGAGAGGCTGCGTCTTCACAGGCAGGTGCCGGCGGGGCAGATGCTGCTCCAGGAGTGGCGGTGACCCGCAGGGGTCCCAGGTGGAAGGCGCTGTCAGCCGACTCGTCCACAGTGGGGGGTGGGGAGTGGGGCAGCGAGGCTGAGGACTCTGAGTCAGTATAGCCCGAGCGCTCGCTGACCCCTGCATGTAATTGGAGGATAGTGCTTTCGCTGAGGTCACTGTCCGAGTCCGAGCTCCAGCCCTCGATCTCCCGGCGGACCAGGGAGTCAAAGAAGGCCATCATCCGGGGGTCCTCCTGGACGGACTGGTTGGCATAGTCGTGGGACAGGCCACTCCCACTGTTCAGCACCAGGCTGATGTACTCTTCGTGGGTGTACAGGCAACGGGAATCATCCTCAATGCGGCCATCGAGGTCTCCAGTACACCCCGGCTGCTTGTATGGGCTCCAGATCTGCACAGATGAAGACAAGAGCGAGCAGAACTGACTGGAAAGAATGCCATAGCTGGTGGTAATAAAGCACACCAAGGCAGGGTTTCCCCAGGCCTTTCCCATCTTTATATTTTCTAGCTACTGCTGGTGGCAGTAGGCCTGTACAATGCCAGCCAGCACTCAGGAGGCTGAGGCAGGAGGATCACAAATTCCAGCTTGGCTTGAGCTGCATAGTGAGACCCTGTCTCACCCGCCCCCCAAAAAAGAACAAAAACACAAAACTTTGCCAGACTTGCTCAGGTGAGTTGCACATGAAAACAGGTTTCCAGAAAAAGATGTGAGAAAAAGCCTGGTCTGAAATATAGGCATAATCCCATGCCAGGAGACCCAGGTTGCGTCTCTAGGTCCAGGATAATCACACCTGTCTTTCTCACATCTCCCACCCTTCAGCTTCCTTAGTTAGCAGCCTGAGCACTATTACCTTAGACTCAGAGGGTGAAGGGCGTCTCTGTGCAGGCTGGCCGCTACGCCGGAAGTTTCCACAAGGTTGAATCGTGCCTGGGGAGGCACACTTCTCCCGAGTGAGAACACAGCCTCAGCGAGCCCCCTTACAGCAGTGTTTCGGCCTAGACTCCACTTCTCCCCAACTGCGACACTGCTGTTTTCAACTAATGGGCACTGCTTGCCGGGACCAGGTAAGAATAGTGACTGCCTACACTGCAGCTCCCTCTCGGGACACCCAGGCACCAGTTACCCAGGAGACTGGGTTCTTTAACCAGGGAGCTGCTGGCTTGCTCCCCCACTTCTCTCTTAGCTGCAGGAATAGGTAAGACACACCCCTCCGAGAGCGGTGACTGCAGCCCCACCCTTTATCACTCCTGTGCCCCCTCGTTAGGGACGTGGTGCACAGTGAAAAGGTGGCAAAGCTAGGATTCCAACTCAGGTCTGTCTGATTTAAAGGCCCAACTTTACACGTTGGACAAGTTATGCAAAAATCCAGTTCACGGGGCAATTAAGCTGTCACTGCACAGGAGAATGATTAGTTCCACCTAACTGCCAGACTGGTCCTCAGAGAAGCTCAGTTACATCAGCATGTAGCCATGGCAACTCAATGAAATTCCAGGCAACTTTCTTGCCTGACAGACTGGTGCCTATCTTTAGATGGCATCCGACCCTGACAGCAGTGGCCCCTCGTGCCCCATCCTCACAGGACCAAGGTTTTGTTTCCCCAAGGGTACCTGAGCACAGTTCACCTTCTGTGGGAACTGCGCTGAGGCTCATCGCCGCTATGACTGGTGGACAACTTCCGGGAGATCATCTCTTTGGAGGACTCCCAGTCCAAAGGGGGCTGAGGAAACCTGGAGCTGCTTCCCCCCGTCAGTTCCCAACTCGGGTTCATTTTCCTTCAGTTTTGCTCCTGCCTGGTCTACAACCCCGTGGCTGTTTGCTCCCCTCCAGCTTCACAATCTAACCCAGGAGTCTTAGCTTTCTCACACTCTGGAGTGTTCAAGAATCAGCAGGAGAGTAACTGCAACACTGACTCCAAAGCTCCAGTCTTAGAGACTCAAGTAAGTTACAGACAAGTGCCAGGACTACGCTGCAGGGGGGGCGCAGTACTGAGGATGGAACCCAGGGCTTCACTCATGCCAGGCCACCCTCAACCCCAAGCCTTTTAAATTTTAAGACAAAGTCTTCGAATGTGGCCGGGTTTGGCCTCCAATTTATATGATCTTCCTGCCTTAGCCTCCTGAGCTGAATTTTTTTTTTTTTTTTTCTTTTGGCACCACTTGAATACAGAGCCTTGGTCATGCTAAGCAAGCACTCTATCACTGGTCTACAAAGCTATGTCCCTAGCCCTTCTTTTGTTTTTGGTTAATTTATACTGGGGACTGAATTCAGTGCCTTTGCACTGAGCTACATCTCCAGTCCTTTTATATTTTTTGAGATAGGGGCTCACTAATTTGCCCAGGCTAGGCTTGAACCTGCCTTAGCCTCCTGAGCTACTGGGATTACAGGTATGTACCAGCATACCCAGCTTAACATATCTTGCTAACTTGCCCAGGCTGGCCTTGAATTTGTAATCCCCCTGCCTCAGCCTCCCAAGTCACTGAGATTACAGGTGTGCACCACCTTACCCATAGCACATGCATTTTTAATAAGCACTCAATGGTAAGCAGAGAAGAATCAGCTTTAAGAAATGCTAAAATACAGTTAGTATAAAATAGCAAAAAAAAAAAAAAAAAAAAGTTTGTCTGAAGCGAGTCTCAAAATCTTTGTGAGACCCAATGTTTGGGAAACATTTAGACAAGGTCTCTAGCACAGGCTTGAGCTATAGCAGATGACGGTCTCTGCAAAAAGATGTGCAAATGCGTAAGTCTGACGGTTTAGAAAGGAAGGTGAGGATTCAAAAGGCAAACTTCGGAGCCAGGCATGGTGGCGTGCGCCTGTAATCCCAGCACTTGAGAGGCTGAGGCAGGAGGACTGTTGTGAGTTCGAGACCAGCCTGGGCTACAAAGTGGGCTCAAGGCCACCTGAACTGCATAGCGAGACCCTGTCTCAAAAAACAAAACAAAAGGCAACCTTCTTAAAATTTTTTGGGGGATCTTATTCTTAATTCTTTTTTGGTTTGTTTGTTTTTGTTTTTCTGAGATAGTGCCTTGCCAAGCAGTTCAGGCTGGCCTTGAACTATGTAGTCCAGGCTGGCCTTGGATTTGTGGAGATGCTCCTTCCTCAGCCTCCGTGCTGGGATTACTGGTGTGTGCCACCACACCTGGCTGCTTCTTCTTAATTCTGAGCCAAGTCTCTCATCTTCCCAATATTAAAAGGTAACATGTTATTAATAATATTCTCTAATATGAAGATACATCTATTTGTCCTGTCATAATAATTCAGAACTTACCAACAAAGTACAAAATAATAATGGTGAGATGCTGGCCCAACTAATTCCCAGGCCAGGGCCACGTTTGAGGTTCTAATCTACCTGATATCCCCCATGTTTTCACTTCAGGAATGAAAACTGTAACACAGAAAGTTAGCTTTTACTTGGGCTCTAGAATGTATTAAGCTGAAGTAAACTTTTAATTCCTAAAGCTTAGGTTGATGCAACAAAACATGACCAAGAGGCAGGAGACTGGAGTATGAGTTCCCACTCAGTTCCTAGCTAGCTAGTGGCCTTGTGGGAGGATTCAGCTCCCTCCCCTAGACAGTGGATTTGATGGATCGCAACCATTCCTAAAATTCAGTGCAATCTCGGGCAGTGAGGGTCCACCTCACGGGAGAGGCAGCAGAGAGCTGTGGAAGCAGATGGGAACCTTGGCCCCACCATGCGCTACGGTCCTGGGCAATGATTTCACCCTTTCTTGAAAGCCTGTTTCTTGTCTGCAGAAATGAGAACTACGAAATGACATCACTTAATACCCAAGCACCAACAGACCCAGTACTTTCTTTTGTAAGTGAATACAGTAACCAGAGAGCTTGAGACCTACTCTCAGAGAGACTTGAACATCAAAGTACTGACTATCCTTATTATCTTGGTCATCATCTTTAAAACATCAGTTTCAAACATTTGTGAAACTGTTTATTTTTTAACTCCAAAAGTCAGTGGCATAAGCACCTGTACTGTTTGAACTAGAAACAAAGGAATGTGAAGAATAACAATGACAACAAAAGCCCCAATTTCCTAGCCAGGGACAGTGGCACACATCTATAATCCCAGCTCAGAGCAAGGCTGAGGCAAGAGAAGTGCAAATTTGAGTTCTGCATGGCCAATTTAAAATAAAAAATAAAGAGCCAGGTAGGGTGGCGGCACACGCCTGTAATTCCAGCACTCAGGAGGCTGAGGCAGGAGGATCACTGCCAAGTTTGAGACCAGCCTGGGCTACAACTGAGCTCAAGGACAGCCTGAATTGCATAGCGAGACCCTGTCTCAAAAAAACAAAAATAAATGAATAAATAAAAACAGGGCTGGGGAAATAGCTCAGTGGTAGAACACCCCTGGGTTTTGTTCCCAGTATCACAAAAACACATGAAACAAAACAAAAAGTGACTTCCTGTTAGCTACTAAATGTGGCTAGGTCTGCCTCCTGGGTAAGGTTCTGAGAAAAGGAAGAGGGATGGACAGCTTTCTCTCTAAGCCTAACAAAGAGTGTAGCTCAAGGGCTGCTGAGCAAAAGGATGAACTTCAATTTTTATTCAGATACCAGCCAAATGGAAGGAAATTAAGTGTCAAGTGTTTGCACCACCAAGTGACCAGAACAAACACACTTGATGTAGCAGTTCTAAGCCGTCTCCGCTCTTTGCACTATTATACCAAATTCAGCGTTTGTCCATCTACCAAGTAAACATGCACAGATAAGATCCTAAATTGATATTCGAGAGCTTGTTACTCTCTCTAATGTGGCTTCCAAGACCCTCTGGGCCTCCCCAGCCCACCTTCCTAGGCCCTTTCCTAGCCTAGCTTCCCCAGCTGTACTTCCTCTTTTGTCTTCCTCTCCTAGGCCCAGCATGATCATTTTCTCACTAGGTTCTCCACTGTTTCCAAGCATTTATTCATAAGCACAACACTGGGCACACAGTAGGTGGTGATTAAATACTTGTGGATTCAATGATATACTCCTCACCTTCTGTCCTTTGTTTGGAAGTCTATCCATTCATCAAAATTGAGCTCAAATATTAACCTATACAGAAATTACCCCATGAGAAAAATTGCTCCCTCCTCACAGTACTTTGTATCTCTTGTGTACCCACTTCATTTCTCAGTACCTTTATTTCTTGTCTGTTCTACTGAGTCATCAATTCACAGGGAGAACTGTACTGCCTTTCTTTATCCTCACATTCCCCACAAGATCTAGCACAATGGCACGTATCACAAATATGGGGTGAATAAATGAATACTGGGCTTTTTGGGGGAAAAAAGGCCAGGATTTGCCTCATGTAACTATAAAGCAAACCCAATCTTTTTGCTAAGTGTGGGGATCTACAAGAGCTGTCCCCCCCTCCCCCCCTGTACCGGGGATGGAACTCACCACCTCGTGCTTGCCAGGCAGGTACTTATGCCACTGAGCTATATCCCCAGCCCCTAGAAGAGCTGTTAAGGGGGAAAAGAGGCTGGCCCTATTAACAGTCTCTTCTCCAGGCTAAAAGGTGGCCATGAAGGATGAAGGACAGGAAGGAGGGGAGTGGAGAGTAAGGATCAGGTCTTCAGCTGGATCAGAACACGGTATTATTGACGCTGTTTGCGCTACTGACCTCAGAAGTAGCAAGCATGAAAGTGACAGTTATTAAAATAAAAATTGTCAGGCCAGGTAATTCCCACGGCACTCTCGGGTGGCAAGCCCTCACTTCACACATGGTAGACAGTCTAGGTGCCAAAACCCAACAGCCCTTCAGGGTCATACAGGCACAGGCAAGGGCGGGAACTCCAGTACGCAGATGAGGCCAGCATTGCACTCAGACGCATCTGTCTCCTTCCTCGCCCTCCCGCAGTGCTTTCTGGTGTCTTGAGACCGTGTTGTCCAGGCTGGCCTCAAACTCATGACCTCTCTGCATTAGCCTCCCACAGTGCTGGGATCGTAGTTATGCGCCATCAGGCCTGGCACTGGTAATGCTTTTAATGCTGCATAATTCCCAACTAGACAGTGAATGGGGAAGATACCTGTGAGACAGCGAGGCTGGGAACTTCAAAGCTTTTTGCCTTCCCTCTCATTATGGTCATCTATGCAGACTTAAGTTTCAAATGGCTAAACACGCCTGCTGGTTCCTATGGGAACCCGAGCAGTAAGCTCCAGAGAGCCGTCTGGATAACCTCACAGAGAAAATATTTTCTTTTCTTTCTTAAGAACTTGGCTAGTTTCCAACCTATGACCTTTAGGGTAAGGACTTTAGTTGACTAAACAGTAACTGCGGAGACTTAGCACAGAAGCACCCCAGAATGAGCAGCCAAGAAGGAATTTCTCTTCTAAAGGAGATGCCCAAGTAGAGAGCGCTCTAAGAAAGAGACTGACGTCAGCGGGCCTAGAGAGGATACGTTACAGTGCCAACCCAAGAGTCACAGGCCAGAGAGTGAAGGACACAGAAATGATCAAATCAGGCTGCCCACTGCCCTAGCATGGTCAATGTGGTGGCACAAAAGACAGGGTTCTAGCCTAGCTTTACCCTTAATTAACTGTGTGACCTCAAACAGTTAACTTACCATTTAAATTTTATTAACTGTAAAAAGAAAAGTTGGTAAAAATATTCTTGAGGTTCTATTGTGTCCCTCTGGGGAAACAAGTACAGCCATGAAAGCTAGCCCTGGTCTCTAGAGCTAACAAAGCTTAAGCAGAGGAAGATGGACTAAAGGCAAATAAAAATACTGACCACAGACTAATGTTCTAGCCCCCCTTTTTGAAATGGGGGGCTCACTATGTTGCCAAGGCCAGGTGCAGGCCTGCTGAGGAGCTGAGATCACAGATGTGCATCACTGACCCTGGCATCAATGTTTCATTCCTGGCTTTTTTTGTGTGGTGCTGGGGGCCAAACTGGGGTTGCTCTGCCACTGAGCTGCATCCCCAGCCCTTTTTATTTTGGGACACCGTCTTTCTCGGTTGCCACAGACTTGCTGTCTTTCCTCAGCCTCCCAAACAGCTGGGATTACAGGTGTGGGCCACCAAGCCCAGCTTCAATATTTTATTCCTGATAGCTATTTCCTGTCATCAAATACAACTTGATTTAACTAAGTCATCACAAACCAGTTTTTACTTTTCTCTTAAACTTCTCTCAGGTTACTTTCCTTTTGAATCCTTTCTCATTTTAAGAAAAAAATTAGGGACTTTTTAACATTTTGGGGAAGAATATAATTTTTTTTTGTTTGTTTTTTTCCAGTACTGGAAATTGAACTCACGACCTCGCGCTTGCCAGGCAGGCGCTGTGCCGCTAAGCTAAATCCCCAGCCCCATGGGGAAGAATGTAATTTATCTTTACTTAAAAGTCAAGTTACCACAGGGTCCTCACAAATTCATCATCTTCCCCGTGCTCAGTTCCTCAGATGTGGACAAAGGGTTATGAACAACTGGAATGTGAGTGATGGGCAGTGGACCCTTGTGTGGACACTGGCCAGGGAGGATCCCCCTCTCTCGCAGCTATAAAAATATTCCTTGGCCAAGGTAAGTTTATTCAACTGATATGCAGTTAGAATGTTTAATATTCACATCCAAGCAGTCTCTATCACAACTACATGCAGGTTTTTTTAATATCCCGAGACAATGTAGCCACGGTTCTGACAATCACTTGTTGTATCTCAATCACTTGTTATACCTATGACATATCAGGACAACAATTAATGCCAACAGGGTATGGAGGGACAGTGTATACTAAAAGGGATAATAGTTCTCCTAACTCCCAGTGAGGGGTAGAAAGCAGAATTCACCCTATTCAAGATGGAAGGCCACTAGAAATTTAACAGCACACAAAGTAATATCTGGAAGCCACCATCTTTGTTTCAGTGCCTGGTGATTTTTGTTTTTTCTTTGTTTTCCAAAGTGATTAGCTTTTAAATGGTTCTAGGGTTATAGGCTGAGGCTACCTGGAAGCAATGGGTCTTTAGACTCAAAGATATCTCCAAGGTCATCAGGCTGAGACCTGTATGGCCTCTACCACACAAACAGCCAAGTTTGATAGTTGCCTATATGCACAAAGAGGTATTTAAAGAACATATATAAGCATACACATAACTATGTAAGCACATATATGTAAGATATAAAAATGTATTCATGTATATGTAGTTCTATTCACAACAAGTAAAAGAAAAGCCATCTGCTCTTTTCTGTAGAATTGTGTAACACATAAAGGTACAAATAGTACTTCTAATGAAAAAACAGATACATGGTAAAATATATAAACTTCTTAATAAATGTTATTAAAAATAGTTCTGAAGGCTGGGGGTATAGCTCAGTGGCACAATGCCTGCCTGGCAAACTTGAGGTTCTGAGCTCGATTCCTGGTACAAAAAAAATACTTCTACAGGTACTAAGAATTCCACAATTAAGAACAGTTCTGAAGGGCCAGGGATATAGCTCAGCAGCACAGTACCTGCCTGGTATGCGCAAGGTCCTGAGTTTGCCGGTGCCAAAAACAAAAACAAAACAAAACAAAACAAACAAACAAACAAAACCCCAAGTCTGAAGAGGTTTAAATCACTTTCTAATATCAACTTCCCAGTATTTTCTTTTTTTTTTTTTTTAAATATATTTTTTTTCTTCTTTTTGGTACCAGGAATTGAACTCATGACCTCAGGCTTGCCAAGCAAGCACTTATGCTGCTGAGCTATATCCCCAGTCCCTTTCCCAGTATTTTTGTATATGTCAAAATCATTACAAATTTTAGTAGACCTTTAGTGTGTTTAGATATGAGGTCCTATATACATTGTTTCAGTTTCTTCTGATTATGAACTGTAATAATTTCTTTAAAGGACAGAAGGGGAAGGTGCCTCACCTTGATAATCTTTTCTACACCAGAAGAGCAGATCATGTAGGTGTGGGGATTAAATCGAACCTGGTTAACAATAGATCGATGCCCTTTCAGCACCATGAAGGCTCCATTGACCACCCTGCCAATGCCACCTGGGGAGACAGAAGAACACAAAAATCAAATGATGAGATGGATGAAAGTAAACATTTAAAGGCAGACACACAGCTCTGAACAGGAGCTGAAATTCTTTATTAACTATACCAGAAGCAAAACGCTTCGTGCTACAGATAAAGTTGCTATGGAAAGAGGGATGAAACGCCTCTTAGCATATGGCTTCCCAACAGCCTTTATTTAGCTATTCGTACTGCCCACACCCACCCACTGTAATTCCATTGTTAATGAACCAAAGCCATTTCATTTTTTAAAAATTTTTTAAAGCCATTTCAAATGTTTAAGTTTTTGATCTTCAAGTTAGAATCCAAGTATTACCTTAGAAAATGCTGACTGAGAAAAATAGACCGAACTGAGCCAGAGAAATAGAACCAGAAACAATGATGGAAATGCACAAAAGACATCTTTGATCTGTTTGTCCCAAATGTCTATGATGAAGACAGGAAAAAGCAAAAACAACAAACAACCCACTGGGAAAATAATGGGGAGAATCCTTTTTCTCCCCTGATAACAGGAAAAAAACAAAGGTAAAGAAAGGAGATTTAGGTCATAATAAGCAGGGCCCAAAGATTAAGAATTTGAATTAGAGAGTCAGCCTTAAAAGCACCACATCTCGATTGAAAGTCAACAGGCCACTGACAGAAAGCTGTATTTTAAGGGCCATCCGGTACTTCTGCTTCAGTGACTGATAAAAAAAAAAGTACCGAAGGCCTGGAACTTGTAACACAGACCAAAGATGTCATCATTTCTGAGGTGGAGATAAACCCTGAGGTTTAACTCCATTGGTAATGGTGACACATCCATCCATATCCCATGCATCCAAGTTCTGAGCCAAGTTCTTTCCAGGTAGTCATCAACAGCTGGACACACATAAGGTCAATGACGCCCTTGGCCAAACAGCAAATGTGATGCACCCAGACACAAACTAATGAGTGTTCATTTATGTAACCCATGAATAGCTTCTTAGTCCTTCCCAGGAACAGGGCACCACGAGGGCACAAACTATCACTGGTAGTTTCTGCTCCCCGTGCATCCATCCCACTCCCACTCTACTCCAACATTCAGCCCCGACTTTTCCTGATGTCTGTGTCTATGGGGAAGATGACTGGAACAGTATCTCTTCCCTTGAAATAACCTTGTGTTAGCACTGTCTTCTCATTTTAGTCTCCCGACACAACTCTTCTTTTGCTGCATGGAAGAAATCCCTCTACTACCACGGGGTTATTTAAAAAAAAAAAAAAGAAGGCAAAAGATTGGATGGCAAAAGGTTTCAGACTATACTGGTTTGTGTCCTTTGCCTAAATGTTTTCCCAAATTTAACTTTTTTTGAGATAGGGTTTCACTCTGTACATATGGTCCTGAACACGCTATGTAGCCCAGCCTGCCCTCAAATCTGTGATCATTCTCCTGCCTCAGGCTGAGATTACAGGCACATATCACTACACTCAGCTTTCCATACAGTATTTAATTTTATTAATACTTGAATTATCCATGATGGATAACACATTTAAAGCTGTTCATATCTCAGTCCAGTATCACCAAGCTTGCTAGTAAACAATAAGGGAGAAAAAGACTAGGACACAGGAGCGTTTTTAATGGGGAAAGTGACCAGGACAGGTTGAGCACTGTGCTAGGTACCATGGGCTGGGCTGAGAGGCCCTTAACAGTCTGTACGTGCTGTTCCTGGGAGGGGAGGGTGGATGGGTGGGTGCGTGTGTGTGTGTGTGTGTGTGTGTGTGTGTATGAAAGAGAGACAGACTTGGGCCTAGTGTGTGTGTGTGTGTGTGTGTGTATGAAAGAGAGACAGACTTGGGCCTAGTGTGTGTGTGTGTGTGTATGAAAGAGAGACAGACTTGGGCCTAGTGTGTGTGTGTGTGTGTGTGTGTGTGTGTGTGTGTATGAAAGAGAGACAGACTTGGGCCTAGTCAAAATACAACTACATGACAGAACTAGTGAAAGGGACCTATGGAAATCTAAGGAAACTGAAATAGTTATCTAAATACAGGGCTTTGCAGAAACCCAAAGGAGCTCACTGGGTCTACTTCTTTTCTAGATAATGTTGATTTGACAAGAATTTCTGCTTACGGTAATCTGAAATCTACTTTTCTAGTATCTTATTCCTACCACAACCCCTGCAACGGGGTGGTGGCCAGCAAAGAAACTTTGGGTTAAACTTATGACAGACCTCATGTTCAATCCTACTGCTTCCAAATAAAGAAACTTAAGTGACTCAGAGAATTTAAGTGATTTCTCTCACATTATATAGCAAGTAAGTGGCAGAGGCAGGATTTGAACCATAGTCTGTATGGCTACAGTTCTTAGTATGGTTTCCATTATATCAATTGCCTTTAGAAGACAAAAGGGCTTGAATAGGACTGGAATTAGAGGCTTGTAATGATTTTTAAGTCTTTCTAGCACTATCAAATGGGCTAGTTATCAAATTGGGGAGGGGGGCGGTTTCTACCCAACAGTATCCCGAGCGCTACAACAGCACCATGGGATATTTCATCAGCTTACTGAATGTCCTACGGGAACAGAGCTGGATCTACCTTACTTTCTCCTGCACCAAGAACCTCTGGTATAAGGCCTAAAGTAAAGTGGACGCACAGCAAGTACTCACGGAGGGAAAAGCAGAATTTCAGAATAAGTAACACCAAAGGAAGACAGACAGAAGGCCTCCTATCTTCAAGAATCAGCTGTGTAGAACTAGAAATTCATTGACCAAACCAATCTTTCTGTCAAAGGTTACATGGAGAACAATTACACTAACTTTCAGATCTAAAAAAATAAGTAGGCTGGGGACATAGCTCAGTGGCACAAGTGCCTTCCTGGCAAGTGCAAGGTCCTGAGTTCGATTCCCAGTATGAAAAGAAAAAAAAATAAGTAGAGTTTCAATGTCTGAAAATTCAGACCATGGAAAGACCACTTCTTTGGTTTTGTTCATTAACTATCACCTCATCTGATTTCTCTTCTTGGCAGCTTTTTTCCCCCTCTTGAGACAGTCTTACTGTGTTCCCCAGGCTGCCCTTGAAAATGTGAGTTTTCTGCCTCAGCTGCTTGTAATCCCAAGTAGCTAGGATTACAGGTGTGCACCACTGCAACTAGCTTTGGCCAGTTGCTAGTAATTTAACATGAGGGTTTTTTTCTCCTTCTCTTCTCACCCAAACTGGTACCACTGGTGCCTAGAAAATGTGAAAAAGAGAACGAAGTCAATAGAGTCAAGAGAGTCATGGTGCAAACAGGTAAGGAAAGAATCATTGCTCCGAGTATTTGCAAGGCAGCTATCAGGGCTTGTATCTACATGTCCCCTGCAAGCCTCATACACTCACAGGTGGGGCTTTTTGGAGGTGGCTGAATCTAGGGTGTGTGAACGTAGATTAAGGGTGTGATAACTGGACTGGTCCTGACTGGCATCCCTCTGACACCAAGAAAAGATGGTTGTACGGGAACTTTATATCAATGGACAGAAAGAAGCCTGCCGCTGCTGCCAACTTGGCCTGCTGTGCCATGGGCTGTTTCTCTTCTGCCATGCTGCCCTGCCTTGCGGCCTGCCAACTATGGACTGATTCCTCTATAAACTGTGAGCAGAAATAGACCTTTCCTCCTTTAACTTGTAGGTGTTAGGGATTTCATTCCAGTAACAAGAAAGAAACTAAGACAGTAACCGAGACGACATACATATAATCACAGCAATGAGTGGACCTCTATAGTGTCTCTCCTGATATAATGACTTAACAAGAATACATTTTTATTAGTTTTGGCAAACTGTATAAACCAGATAGCTTCTCCTTGAATCTGAAATGGCTGAAGTCAAGATGCTGATCAGTAAGAACCTGGTCTTCTTTCCTCCATCACCCCACCAGACCACTAGTACAATAGCAGGGTCAGACTGAAAAGAGGGAATATTGTTTCTTTGTTTGTTCATTCATTTACTTGTTTTGTTTTTGAGATGGTCTTGCTGCCCAGTCCAGGCTGGGCTTGAACTACCCCAGGATGTCCACCCGAGTGCTGGGATTACATTACTATGTGTGATAGGAGTATTTTTCCCAAGAATTATAAGAATTTACATAACCGTCCTTCAGTGTCATTTCTAAGGCTATGAGTAAAGGCCTCAGCCATGACATAATCATTAATAGTAAGTGTCAATGAATAAAGTAGCACATCCCCATTCTTGAGCCGTTCTTGTTTGTTTTTTGAGATGCTATTTGTTTATATGGTTTTATATAACAGGCATTCTTAGGGTCATCTGTTCTGACTGGTGTAGCCAAATACACAGCATTCCTTTCTTTGGAAGTTTGGTTCAAAAGTCAAAGCCAAAGTTCCCACATAGCCGTCTTTCCTTGGTTTCAATGGGATGCAAAAGAGATAGAAGAGCTATAAATCGCCTTATCTAGTCTACTACAAGATACCAGAAAAGAAAGAGAGGGAGGCTGTCTCATAAAATTCTAGCATCAGGGCCGGGAAGTAGTTCAGTGGCACAATGCCTGCCTAGCAATCATGAGGTCCATAGTTCGATTCCCAGTACTCCCCCCCAAAATTCTAGTATCAGTAACTCACTCACATCTGAGAGGATCCCAAGATCTGAGCAACTCAGAGAATACACCTTGCTCAGAATCTACAGAGACCTCTCTAAAATGCCATGCCTACAAACTGTCCCCAAACCCCTTTCCTGAAGACAGGAGGGTAAGATGAAGGTCCTAACTTCTCCCCTTCCCTACCTATGCTCCTTCTTCTACCTCCTTAGGCCAAAGGTTGGGTTTCTCCCCTCAGCCTCTGAAGATCAGAAAACCACTCTCATTTCTAGCCATCTTCATTCACTTCTTTCATACCAATGTGCCTGCAGGAATAACTGCGCTTTCAATTTGGAAGTTAAAAGCAATGCAGTCAGGATTCCTTCCTTCCTTCCTTCCTTCCATACTGGGATTCAAACTCAGGACCTCATGTTTGCCAGGCGGGTGCTGTGCCACTGAGCTACATCCCC